ACCCTTAAAGTATGTACTCTTTTGGTGAAGAAAAAGTACACACTTTTGAGTGTGTAGTAGAAGAGTAGGCAAGCTTTGGGACATACTATCACATCACACAACTGCGTCTTTAACGGACGCTCTGTCGCAGGGGTGCACAAACTTGGTCCTGGAGGGCCGATGTCCTGCAGAGTTTAGATCCAACCCCAATTAGGCACACCTGAATCAGCTAATCAAGCTCTTACTAGGCATACTATAAACTTCCCAGCAGGTGTGTTGAGGCAAGTTGGAGCTAAACTCTGCAGGACACTGGCCCTCCAGGACAGAGTTTGAGCACCCCTGCTCTGTCGCATAGATACACGCACCCTGTCACTGTAAACTGGCCTGTCAATATATCTTGTCACAGTTAACATCCTCCATATTGCATTTCATTTAACTTCCTATCGAATTGGAGAGGAAAGAAGTAGCACATTGATCTGCCAGTCGCGGGTCTTTCATGCTGAGAACTCTGAGAAATTTAAAAGTAAACGACCCAACGAATGTTTATAAAAGTGTACATTGCTGTTGCAGATTAAATATAACACAGATAACATTAAATACATATTTCTTTACCAGGTTAAATGTTGAATATTAGTAACTCAGACCCCTTTTTCTAAGCCTCTCTACCTAACCGCCGGTTGCACACATCTGCCATGTTTGTAGTTTTTAACGCGTTTTATTCGTGTTTGTAGTTCTTGACAGAATCCTTCACAAAAGCGCAATGGATTGTGGGCAATATTAGCCATTAGAGTGTGCACGGATCCACACTTCAAAAATCGACCTGAAATTGTAGACCATCCGGGGACTTTTGGCATACTCTTTTCAACATACTATGCTTTGGGACACACTTATTCTAATCTCACATACTATTTAGGATGGATAGTATGAACACTGAGACGCAGGGGCACTCTAGACCAGTGGTTCTCAAACATCTCCATGAAGTACCCCCAGCACTGCACATTTTGTATGTTTCCCTATATGTGACACACCCACTTCAGGTCTTGCAGTCTCCACTAATGAGCTGATGAGTTGAATCAGGTGTAATAGATGAGGGAGACATACAAAATGAGTACTCCAGGACAGATTTGAGAACCACTGCTCTAGACCAGTGATTTTCAATCCAAACCCACCACCCTGCACATTTTGTATGTCTCTGTTAGGCTATCTGACACACGCCCTGCGTCCCAATGTGCATACTATCCACCCTATCTGCCCTAAATATTATTGAAAATTACTAATATCACATGGAATTTAGGATGGATAGTATGCACATTGGGACGCAGGCACTGAGTTCAGTGCATGGAACTTTCACCTGATGAACTGATGATCTGAATCAAGTGTGTTAAATAAGGAAGACACACAAAATGTGCAGAGCGGTAGGTCCCCAGGACCAGGATTGAAAACCACTGCTCTAGACTATGCTATTGCCTTTAATAAAGTAATATGTTTTGTTTGTTGTCATATGTGACCATGGACCACAAAACCAGTCATAAGGGTAATTTTTTTTAAAATTGAGATTTATTCATTATGAATAAATAAGCTTTCCATCAATGAATGGTTTGTTAAGATAGGATAATATCTGGCCGAGGGTGCAAAAAATCTAAATATTGAGAAAATCGCCTTTAAAGTTGTCCGAATGAAGTTCTTAGCAATGCATATTACTAAACACTTTACTTTATCTAAATTATCAAGGTTTAATTTTTCTACTAATACATTAACATGGATGGAGTCATACTTAAATTTAAGAAAACAATGT